CCTTTCAGTGCTTGGCAAAGCCATCCCTGTGTGTATAGGTGTAAAGTGCTACGGGCCCCTTTGGAAAGAAATGTCTTATCTGTCTATCTACGTAATGCACCACATTATCCGAAGATGTCTAAGCACCACACACACATTACAGAATGATTACAAGTGAAGTGACACAAGGATCATGTTGCCTGCCACTGAAATGCAAACACCTGTGGGATGGAACACAGCAGCACTTCAACAGCACACAGCAATACACAACAGTTCAAAGCAAGTAGGTAAGAATCACTTGATGGTTACCTGCTCTGTTCCATTCCCTCCGGGGCACTTGGCATCGGCCAGTTGGAGGACAGGACACTGGTCTAGATGGATATTTGGTCTGACCCAGCATGGTCATTCTTAATACTGCAGCCAGTTACACAACAAGGAATATTCAGCTACGCAACTGACAACGGGCTGGGGAAAGGCTACTGTGAGCTGCTCAACGCCAGTTTCCTAGGCAGCTACAGCCTTGTCCCAATTCTCCCTGCTCTGATGGTTTAAACCATTAGAAACCCAGGGCAACACGGTGCACCTGAGACTTTCCCAGTTCAGTGTGTCCCTGCATAGGGCTCAGCTCCAGGCGGGCTGGCGAATGCACAGACTGTGCTAGTGTAATGCCAGCACAGGCATGAGGCCTCCCCCCCCCACGAAGGTGGAAGTGGGGCCAGAGCTCCTCTCCCCGAATCACTGAATGTGCTGGAAGCAGGCCAGAAAGAACCATGCTGCTAGAGGAGCCCTGTGGAACCCCCTGGCAGAAGCCCTCCTGGAGCGGTGAGGGGCGGGGAGCTGCCTTTCAGCCGGAAGAGGGCTTCGCTGGTACAGAACTAACAAGAGTCCGTGCGAAGGCCCAGCCACAGACACGGCAGCTCAGCAACAAGCCTTCGCAGATCCCAGCGTCTGCCAAGGGAGAACAATCAGCACGCACCTCACTTCATGTGTCCTTTGCTTTCACTTTAGCAATACCAGCAGGAAAAAAACCGACGTGGACAGAAACCAGAATGTGGCAACCCCGCACATGGGCAGCAGCAAAATGTCTTGCGGGCCACACACAGAACCCCGATATGCCGCGGTTGCCTACCACTGCAATAACTGTTCTGGGGTTTTATAAAGCACTCGGCACACGGGCAGCTCTGCACATACACAGACACACTAGTATTTGAGCCGGGGAAACCAGGGGCTTAGCAGACAGGGATGGAACAGTTTCTTGACGTGGGCCCCTCCTGCTCCTTCATATTTTAAAGCTTGTTTATAGTATGACTTTATGTGCCCCTTGAATCTATTGTAAATTGGATGGGGCAGAGACTTGCTAGGCACAATTACATGCTTACCATGGTATATTATTAATAATAGTCCATTTGTTATTGGGTTGGGATTTACTTCACTCACCTCTTTGTTTGCAGGGATTCCTGTTACCAGCTTCCTTCCCCTTTCAGGGAGGTACCCCCTTGGGAAAGGCCTGCTTTGTGAAGGTGGCTTAATTGAGGAAGAGGGGAATTGAGGCTTAAAGGCAAAGGGGTTTCTGGGAAACGTAGTCTCACACTGAAAGCTACACTACAGGAAACAGAGTAGGGGCCTGATTGTTCTAGGGTTGCCAGATGGTTTCAACAAACGTACCGTAGGGTTGCCAGATGGGCTCCCAAAAAATACCGAACATGTGGGCTTAAAAAAAAAAGAACACAGGATGGGCATACAAAAAAATCCCCGTATCGCCCAGCTTCAGAACGCAACCACAGGAGGTGCCACTAGCCCATGGTGCAGTGCCCAAGGAGGGGGGGCTCGCAGGAGCTGCCTGCCCAGGGCGAGGACCCGGTGCCTGCACGTGCCGCGTGTCTCTGACCTCTCATGGTGCTCCGGGTGCAGCTGCCGGGTCTGTGCGCGGGGCGGGTCCTGAGCCCAGCCAAGCCAGAACACTCCCGCTGCAGGGACCCGAGCAGCAGGTCTGTGTTTCGCGCTGGAGACGGGACCCAGTGACATTTCAGGGAGGTACCCCCTTGGGAAAGGCCTGCTTTGTGAAGGTGGCTTAATTGAGGAAGAGGGGAATTGAGGCTTAAAGGCAAAGGGGTTTCTGGGAAACGTAGTCTCACACTGAAAGCTACACTACAGGAAACAGAGTAGGGGCCTGATTGTTCTAGGGTTGCCAGATGGTTTCAACAAACGTACCGTAGGGTTGCCAGATGGGCTCCCAAAAAATACCGAACATGTGGGCTTAAAAAAAAAAGAACACAGGATGGGCATACAAAAAAATCCCCGTATCGCCCAGCTTCAGAACGCAACCACAGGAGGTGCCACTAGCCCATGGTGCAGTGCCCAAGGAGGGGGGGCTCGCAGGAGCTGCCTGCCCAGGGCGAGGACCCGGTGCCTGCACGTGCCGCGTGTCTCTGACCTCTCATGGTGCTCCGGGTGCAGCTGCCGGGTCTGTGCGCGGGGCGGGTCCTGAGCCCAGCCAAGCCAGAACACTCCCGCTGCAGGGACCCGAGCAGCAGGTCTGTGTTTCGCGCTGGAGACGGGACCCAGTGACATCCCACTGAGCTATCCCTCCCCCCTAAGTCTTGCCCAAGATGGAATTGCTTAACTCAGGCCAGGTTCAGCTCCAGGCCCACTGTCAGTGCAAGTGAATCAGGGCCTGATCCAAAGCCCCCTAAAGTCCATTGGAGTCTTTATTTCAATTGGTGGTGGAAAATGGCCCTAGTTAAATCAGAGCAACCCCCTCTGTGACCATTCTTATTTCAGGGTGAATGGCTTAATTGGGTTTAGTTTAAACTTTTAAGCTTCCGTCCGGCTCCCAGCCGGGAATTCAGAAAATACCAGACATTACACATGTCCGGTATTTTCTGAATTTTTTTACCGGGCAGAGAGCACAAATACTGGACTGTCTGGTAGAAAACCGGACACCTGGCAACCCTACCACCAGACACATTGACATCACAATCTACATCTGATTTAGAAAATACCGGACATTTATATTTTCTCAGTTTGTTTCCCGAACAGAAAGCTCAAATACTGGACTGTCCGGTACAAAACCCTAGCTTACGTTGGCTTTGAGATTTAGCTGCCTCTGCAAGCCCTGGTTATTTTATACCCTCCTCTTTTCTGATTAAAACTGGAATGTATGTGTACTCTAGGATCAATGATCCCTCCCGCCCCCAATCCCCCCTCCCTCCCCCCTCCCTCCGACCAATTTCCGATGAAAAAAATCTCCCACCCGCTTGAATTAGTCCCATTTCTGCTGAACAGGTGGCAGATCTGGCCGAGGGGCTGTTCGGTGTTCCTCTCAAGCTTTTGGGAGAAGCATAGGGGACGTCCCCACTGCAGTAAAATACCTGTGGCTGGCCTGGATCAGCTGGCTTAGATTCATGGGCTCAGGCTATGGGACGGCTCCACTTCAGAGGTGTCCCAGGGGCCAGGCCCCTGTTAGTCCCATTTCTGCTGAACAGGTGGCAGATCTGGCCGAGGGGCTGTTCGGTGTTCCTCTCAAGCTTTTGGGAGAAGCATAGGGGACGTCCCCACTGCAGTAAAATACCTGTGGCTGGCCTGGATCAGCTGGCTTAGATTCATGGGCTCAGGCTATGGGACGGCTCCACTTCAGAGGTGTCCCAGGGGCCAGGCCCCTGCACAAGCCCAAGTGTCTACACTGCTATTTTACAGCCTGAGACTGGGTACAGGAGGGGGTGAGGGAATAGGGGGGCAGGAGTATAGAATGTCTTAAGAGATGCAAACAGGCACCAGAAACTGGGGGGGAGCCAGTATCTGGCTCCAGTCTCCGTGGGCCCTGGGAAAACCACATGGAGGGCTGGAGCCCAAAGGGCCCCTTGAGGGCAGTTGATCAGAGAAGGTGGGGTAGCAGCACGAGGGGTATGAGTGAGGGTGCAGGGAGAAGCCCTGTGCGCAAACTTCAGGGAGCACATGGACACAGCAACATTTGTGCCCTACAACCCAGCGCATGGACACAAGCCCCCGTTTTCAGTGGTGTGTACACACGCGATGTTACAATGTACCCCTGGGTGACAGCCCGGACTTTCAGCCATTTGTCCATATTTCAGCACCTGACTGGAAGGGGCCTGGCTGTCGGAGATGCTGAGCGTGTTTATCCTCCGTTGACAGTAAAGGCAGCTGAGCTTGCTCCGCACCCCCAAAAGCTGGACACGTTAGTTTCTGTGCCAAACCTTGGGAACCCCTTGAAAATGCTGCTGCTGCCGCCCCCGGGGGCAGGCTCTGGGGCCTGACCCCTCCGCTGGCTTTGGGAGAGAGGGATGCTCAGGGGGTCCCTGAGTGCCTTGAACTCCCCACGCATTTCACCACCCCCGCTCTGCCTGCCAGGCACGCCTGTTGGGAAGAGGAATAAGAGACTTGGCCTGCTCGGTCCCCCTGGTGTTCCAGCCAGGGAATGGGATTGGGGCATGGAGGCTCGCAAGTCCCCAGCTCACTCTCCTGGCCCGGGCAAACCTCCGCACTCTGGAGGGAGCAGAGGCAGGGTTGGGGGTGGCTGGGCCTGTATGCTAAGTGATTGGGCCCCAGCCCATCCGGCCTACTCATGGCTATACCCCTGCTCCGGGGGCATTTAATTTACACTGGTGGCCTCTCCCACCCATGGAGCAGCCCAGAATACGGGCACAAGAGAGGAGCACAGCACAGATACTCACAGCACAGATACCTGGGGTGCTGCTTACCTGGAGCATGAAAAGGGTAGCCTTTAGTCATAGCTACCCACACAACTGCTGCTTACCCAGACCCAATCCACATCACTGTGAGAGTTCTCCAGCAGGTCTGCCTGGCTTTCAAGAGATGCATTCAAGAAGCGTTCTAAGGCTTGGAAAGTGACACCCAGCCTCCGTGTGGTAGTTGCCAGGTGGTGCTCAGCTGAGAAAGAGGCTCCCCAAACAGTCCTTGAGTGCATGTTCATTAGTGTAATCAGGTTCATTAGTGTAATCTCATGCCCACAATTTGGTGTCAATTAAAAGCTGGCAGAGAAATCCAATCAAAATGGAGTTTATTGAAAAGAATGTAAAAGTGACACACCCAATCCATACAGTAGCCCTTGGGTTTGGGAAAGGGTTGTGGGAGACCACGGTATTTGCAACTGATGGACTTCAGATAAAAGATACGCAATTTATTTATAGAAGGTACAATCTGTACAGGTTTGGCTTTTTCTCAACTCCATGTTGGACTGCTTTTTGATCTCGTACAGCATGACGCTTGGATGCCCTTTGTACACAAAGACATTTCCCCAGACCATTTTAACACACACATGCCATGAAGTTTTATGCAATAAAGTGCAATACTGGATTCTTTGAGAGGAATGAAATGACGGAGGAAAATAGCAGGCATTAAATCAAAGACATCTCCTAGACCAACTAGGCTGATTGTAAAGTGCTGATCTGCCCCCCAAAACCAACACATATTTAACTAACTACAGTAAAAGTTCTATCCATTTTACTGAAGTGGAAACACCAGCAACATTTACAATGGAATGTCAGTAACTCCCCTACCCAATCTGCTTTAAAAATAAGAGACATCCAAATAAATCATGGAACTAAAGACACGTCTGCGATTTCCTTGGAGGGGAATAAACCCTACTTCTATCATTCTGTTTCTTAAGAGAAAGAAAAACTAACCTAAAGGATTACAGCTAGTAAGACATTTTGGTCCTGATACAACATGATGAAATGAAAAAGGCTGTAAACACTCACTTCTCCTGTCGGTATGGCTTGCTTGTCTGTGAGGAATAGACAAGATAGGTTGTGTGTTCCGTGACTTTCTTAGGAGCTTGTTCAGTGGTCCCCAATCTTGGTCAATTACACCCCCCACCCCAGATGGGGAAAGGAGTGAGTGGGATAGGATGGGAGGGGGAGCTGCACTCTGGAGGTGGGGGGAGACTGGGGCAGAGCAAGGAAGGTGGAGCTCCACTCCAGAGGTGGCAGGGTCAGTGGGACAGGACAGGGAGGGGCAGCTGTGCTCCAGAGTTTGAGGGAGCAGGTGTGAATGGGGCACAGCAGGGCAGAGGGAGCCACACTGGAGTAGTTCATTTGTCACTGGGCCAATGGGACCTGTGCCAGGAGCCCTGGCCAATTGGGTGGGGTGTGGAAAAATGGGCATCCCTATGCTCCAACCCCGCTCCCTGGCAGGAAGGCTGGGCGGGCAGAGCAGGCAAGCCCTCACACCCCACCCCCACTCCGTCAAGAGCAGCAGGTGGGGGATGGAGCATGCCCCCATGCCCTGACTCCATTTCCCCAACAGAAGGGCTGGGGGGACAGGAGTGGACTGCAGGCAAAAGGGATGGGGAAAGGCCCCCACTTGTCCTGGCAGCCCCTTTTCCCCCAACCTTGCCCGCCTACCCAAAAATTTGGGCCCATCCAGTTTTCCTGTCCTAGCTATGCCACTGACAAGTTGAGGACCATTGAGTTCGTTCAAGGGGCCAGACTGGCTTTTCCCTTTGTCCCTCTCCCAACGTTCCATGAAAGAGGGGGGGTTGATACTTGGCAAGGCAGACCCCACTCCGCTGAAAGTGAGACAGCAAGCATGGGCGGTGCAGCCAGGGTCTCTTGCTTGGTAAGGTAGGGCTGCTGCCTGAGGAGGATGGGGTTTCCTGGTTTGGAAAGACTGGAAATTCTCTGAAGTTTTCTGTCTCCAGCTGCTCTGCAGCCAGGGTACAAACCTGGGCCACTATGCACACCAACCTCCAGGTCCAGTTCAACCACTTGGGAGCCACTTTTCTGAGATGCGACCCCAGATATGTGATTCACGGAGACTTCGGGGATGATGGATTTCCACTGTTATCTAAAACCAAGCAGGTAGATTGACAGAGGCATATTGCTTGGGGGGACCAATCTGCCCATCTCTGGGGGTGCGCGACATCCCCATGTAAACAAACAGCATCATGGCATCCCATGCCGGCTGTCACAAAAAGTACCATCGGCCCAGTGCTTTCACACCGGGACAGCCCTCTTAAGTACTGGCTACACAGGATGCCTCGTGTGAGTAAAAGAATCATTTTGGTTCCCAAAAGGCACCTTGTTTAACATTGAAAACGTAAGACTGGCCCCTTTACATGTGATGCATGCATAGTTCATATACTCTTGCAGATAGTATATATACTATATATATATATATTCTATTCACACAGACGGCTCCCGAAGCAGAGTCCTTGAGTAGCTAGACATTGGTGAGGGTGCTGCTGGTGAGGAGTCTCACAGCAATGGTTCCTGAAAAGCCGCTGGATTTTTTGTTCCCTTTATCTTGGAGTTGAAGAGTGTGCTGTGACAGACGGTCATCGGGGTCACCGGTCAGGGCCACCTGGCCCAGGAACTCGTCACTTATAATGTTATGGTTCCAGACCTAGAGAAACAAGACACAAAATGGGTGCTGTTCCTGCTGCAAAAAACATCTGCACAGGGGATGCCTTGGTCATTCAGTTCATGCTGGTGTTGATTATTTCTCTTGCAGTAGCACAGAGAGGCCCTCCACAAGATCAGGGCCATGCAGTGCTGGGTGCTATACATACACATAGCTAGAGCTAGTCCCCAAGCTGAACTGCTTACTGTCTAAATACATCAACCAGAGAATAGGTAAGAGAAAGGAAGAACTGTTAGCTCCATTTTACAATTGGGGACCCAGGACACAAAGAAACTAAGTGACTTGCCTAAGGATGCACACAGAATCTGTGGCAGAGCTAGGAACTCAACCAGCTCTACTAGGATTTAACTTCTAGCCCAACCTCTCTCTCCTTTCATCCACCCCTGCAGCTGGCGGAAGCCTTGATCTTCCTCCAATTTTGAAATGATCACAGGGCATATAATTTTCCTGGTGGATGTCGACTTTTTAACCCATGTCACTGCCATACAGAGGGGGCTCGTCTACACTGGCCCCTTTTCCGGAAGGGGCATGTTAATTTCAGCTATCGTAGTAGGGAAATCCGCGGGGGATTTAAATATCCCCCGCGGCATTTAAATAAAAATGTCCGCCGCTTTTTTCCGGCTTTTAGAAAAGCCGGAAAAGAGCGTCTACACTGGCCCCGATCCTCCACATTTTTATTTAAATGCCGCGGGGGATATTTAAATCCCCCGCGGATTTCCCTACTACGATAGCTGAAATTAACATGCCCCTTCCGGAAAAGGGGCCAGTGTAGACGTAGCCAGGGTATTTTAATAATGATGTGACAACTAGAGTTCCTGCTTCTTCCAAGATTATATACACGCCTCCACAGATTCCTGTGGGCTGGGGTCAGAGCGACAGCTTGGAAGGCATGTAAGTGACTGTGTGAGATGAAAGGCAGTGGAGAACCAGACCCCACAACTCTTTTATTTTCAGGGCTCCTTTAGATGTGAAGAATACTTGTAGTACCTCCTAATAAGCCAACTCCTGTGGCCCTTACTGAGTTCAAACTTGGGGAAATTCACATTGACTTCATTGGGTACATCTAGACTACAGAATTTTGTCGACAGAGGCTTTGTCGACAGATACTGTCGACAAAGCGTGTCTAGACTACATCCAGTTCTGTCGACAAAGCCAGGCTAACACCTTCTGTCGACAGAACTCTGTTGACAAAAGGCGTTATTCCTCATAGAATGAGGTTTACCGCTGTCGACAAAACTGCCAAGTTCTGTCGACGTTATGTCGACAGAACTCAGCAGTAGTGTAGGGGTGTGTCTAGACTCCAGAGTTTTGTCGACAATAGTGGACTTTTGTCGACAAAGCTATAACTGCGTCTACACTACCGCTGAATTCTGTCGACATAACGTCGACAGAACTCAGCAGTTTTGTTGACGCTGGTAAACCTCATTTTACGAGGCATAACGCCTTCTGTCGACAGAGTTCTGTTGACAGAAGGTGTTATTGCATGTAGGGTTGTGTCTAGACTACAGGGTTTTGTCGACAAAGCAGCTTGCTTTGTCAACAGAACTGAATGTAGTCTAGATGCTCTTTGTCGACAGAAGCTTTGTCGACAGTATCTGTCAACAAAACTTCTGTCGACAAAAGCGTGTAGTCTAGTCGTACCCTAGAAGCAGATATAGTTTTTTTGACAAAAGGCCACTTTTGTTGACAAAACCCTGTAGTCTAGACACACCCATTGGGAATTAGCCAAAGGAAGAGCTTAGTAAAAAGGCTTGAGAATTTAACTTCTAGTACCTATGAATTGTCTAAAGCTCCTTACCTCCTTACGCCCACGTTTCTGGTAAAGAACCTGACAAAATACTTTGCATTCATATCTGGTCTAGCATTCAATAACTGAGCCTCATAATCCCCCAGGAGGCAAGTTTGAGCTTCATGTTAGACAGGGAAACCGAGTCACACAGGATTTTGATGAACTAGCCAATGCTGCCCTGCAGATCAGGGAACAGAACCTGAGTCTTGCTGGCTAGCCCCAGACTGGTCTTCTAGTCACCTGCACAATGATGGGCTGTCCTGACTTCTTGCGATAGAAGAGACCTTTCACATCAAACTCTGGAGCCAGGGTGTTTTTCTGCACTGGAGATCGAATTTTGTCCCCTTCACACTTAATGATCACGTAGGGGTCTGCTCCTGGGGAGAGGAAAGAGAATTGATCTTTTGCTGCTGGAAATGTCACTCCTCCCAGCCCTTGCTTGCCTCACTCCTGATGGTGGGTGTTTATATTCCGCAAGAGACGGCAGGAAACCCAGCGGGAACAACGAGGCTTGCCCACCTCTGCGAAGTCCTGTGAGACCTGCAGACACCAGGGGCTAAAGCTCATTTGTATTTTGTGTTATGTCACCCCAGACATGGGCGAGTGACCGAGCAAACCACTTGGAGGTGGTTCCCTAACTGTGGGAAGTGACAACACCCCTGTAACATACGAGCCTAGATGTTCCAAACCAATGCGTGACTTTGGGCACCCAGCCTGAACCACTCTGAAGACGCTGGATGTTCAGACAATGGGTGCACCGCAGATTCAGAATATCAAGGCTCCTTAAGGTCACTCATGGGCCCCCAAAATCACTAATTGCTTCGGAGCATCTTGGCTGCAGGCTGTCAATAACAGCTCCAGACACATGATCAGAAGAAAACACACCGAGGGCACGTTGCAGTGCAGTGAAGAACCTACCTTCAGGTTACCAGGGCTAGGACCTCTCTTCACTACCCAGAGAAAAAGATAAACTGGCAGAAGTGAGCACCTACTGTCTGGTCACACTCTGCATCATGCCCTCTGAGCTAAGCAGCTCTGGTGGGAAGACCCTGCAAAGGGGCAGGCACTTTCAGGGAGGGGCTGGGCACCCCTCAGTGCTCACAGAGGTTAGCACAGCTAACGCCTTGCCAGCTTGAGCCCACATAGCTTTTTCAGGCAGAGACCTCAAGATGCTTTATAAAGGAGATGAGGATCACTGTCCTGTTCTACAGACTGGGCAACTAGTCAACCACAAGGACACAGGCAGACCTGGGAATAGAACCCAAATCTCCTACCACCTAGGCCGGGGTGGGCAAAAGGGCCTCCGCGGGCTGGATCCTAGTGGGTGCCTAGTGGGAAAGGGGGGCAAAGGAGCTCCCCCACCCCCTTCCGTTTAGGCCCCGCTCTTTCCTGTTTAGGCCCTGCCCCTTCCGGGGCTACTTCAAACATTTTCGAAATGACCCCTGAGCAAAAATTATTACCCACCCCTGACCTAGGCCACCAGACTACACTGCAGAGATTTCTACCTCCCACACACGCCTGCACCCACCAACTTAGCTAAGTCAAAGCTAGCCAAATGCACAGGGCCAAAAACTACCTTCACCAAGCAAGTGCAGTGCAATGTGGAGTGCCAGCCAGGTGCTGTCTCTCTGCATAATACACTTGTATTACTTGTGGGACAATCAAAGGACAAATTGGCCCAGCTCACTCCTCGTTTCCAGTCTCTCTTCTAGGTGCAAGGCTTCCCCACGCTGAGAGCCTTTGGAAATGGACCACACTGTGTTTGATCCCCACTGAGCTTCTCAGTCGTCTGCTTGTTGATTATGGTTTACCTCACAAACGCTCCTTGCCTTTGGGATGACCCCATGCCAAAACTAGGGATGTTAGATATCGTGTATTTCAGTAATCGTGTAGCCGCAATCATTGTTAGTGGTTACACGGTTACTAAAATACTCCCTGGGGGCTGGGCCGGCAGCCAGTGCGCTCCCAGCTCCCAACCCCACTCCTGGGAAGCTCCCTGCCACCCCACACTGCTGCTTCTGTATCACCATGGGGTGGTAGGCGGAGCCAGTCTGGGAGGGGAGCCACTTTAAAATTACAGAGGCAGCAGAGTGTGTGTGTCTGGTGGCAGCCCCTGAGCACTGGCTCCTGCTTGCCTGCCTCCCCCCCGCCTCTGTGGGAGGCAGCCAGGGACGTGCAGGTGGCTCTGTGGAACCAGCATGTGCGGAGAGATGGCTTAAAAACCACTTCCTCATGCGTATCGGCTCCCACCTCCCCCAGGCCCCCTGTGCTGCTGCCTCTCTATCAGAGGCAGCAGGGAGAGGGGGAGGGGGAGGCAACTCCACCGGAAGCAGCACACGTAGGGGGACGGCTTTAAGCCGACTCCCCATGGGCATTGACTCCTGCCTCCCACCCCTTGATGCCTCTGATACTGAGGCAGCAAGGGGATGGGGGTTGCATGAAGTTGTTTGGATTAACCGATAAACCTAAGCTTATTGGTTAATCGTTTAAATGGCTATACTCTAAAACCCTAGCCAAAATAGACCCCCTTGGTTCCCCCTCGATGGGTGCTAACCAGGAGGAATGCCAGTGAATCCAAGGAAGCTGTGGGAGGAGACACAGGTCCATGGCCTGTCCCACCACAGAAACAGCCCTCTCAGAGCAACTTGTGAGGCCCGGGAACAGCAGGTTGCTAACACCAGCCAGAAGCGACTCATTTGCTCTCACTGCTTTGGCAGCTCATGGGCTTTGGATGAGGACAAGACGGAGAGCAACTGACACCAGCACAAACGCAATCTGTCGCACCAATCCCATCTCTGCACTATGGGACTGTGGAGAACATGGGGTGAACTCCACCCAGGCCTGGTAGCAATAAGGGGTGGGGTGTGCTTGATGAGTGAGGTACGGGCAGAGGGGAAAGCAGCGTTTGATAAGCAACCAGATGTGGGATCAGCTCTGAATAAGATCCAGGAATGAGATGGGCTCTGTCGAGAGGGGTTTCCAGTTCAGCAGAGCAGATGGGTTGCAGTAGGGCCCTGGAATAGGAACACATTTAGAGGGGCTCTAGAAAATGAGGGTAATAGAATAGTTGGGTTATTTCTTGTGGGCAACAGTTATCTTAGGGAGGGGCTTGAGTGCAGAGTGTGGTGGTACTGGACAAGAGAGACCAGATATCTTGATTTTATAAGGACAGGCTTGATAGTCAGGGGATTTTCTTATACAGACACCTATGACCCCACCTTCCCACCCCTGTCTCCATGATTCACACTGGCTATCTCTGATCTCCCTTCTTGTGGCAGGCACTCTGTACACAAGGGGGTGACAGAGAGAAGAGGCTGCAGGCTGGAGTGGGAGTGGGGATGAACAGGGGTGGAGGGATGGAGGAACAGGACTGTGTGGGGTCCAGAGGGGGAGAAGAAGAGTTTAAGCAAGGTGTGATGGGAGGCAGGGGCAGGCTCTGGGACCAGCTTATTACAGAGTCGGCCTGCTGGACAAATTGTAGCAGCTGTGCTCTGTCGGGGATGTCATGGGGCCTCAGGCAGGCTGACTCAGCAATCAAGTCAGAAAACGGACAGGGCCCAGGTGAGTGTGCGAGCTGCGGACCAGAGTAGAAAGGTCCCACCGTAACCCACGTTTCCCTGCTAGGAAACAGGCTCACGCCCGCATGTTTACAGTGGGGAACAAGTCTTTGTTTGAGGACCAGAGCCAACATTTACCCTTGGCAAGGAAGCACGGCCAGGTGTCAGTGTTCCATCCAAATGCATGCTGGGGATGTGGAGGAACAAACCTACCCACTTCCCAAGGCCTGAGATTGAACTTCCTCATCTCTTGTTCCCAGAGGAAACTTTGCAATAATTTACTGCCCACCTGCTCCTTAACTTTCCACTTCTCAGGGCTCCTTGCTTCCAGGAGCAGAAACAGCTGCAGGATTTCACAGCCCTGCTTTCCAAACCCTTCTCTGGAAAGACCCACAAAAGCCTCATTTCCCACCAGCCAGGGCCAAATTCCACCCATAAATCGCTGCCCCAAAGGTCCAGGAAGGATTGGGAGACAGGAGAGATACAAGCACCAGTGCACAGGAATTGCTGGTGAGGCAGGACATCCTGACAGGGTGGAGGGAAAGGGGCGACTGCCCCAGGAACTGGGGAGTGGCAGCAGCCGGAGCCCCAGGCCCTTTAAATCGCTGCCAGAGCCCCACGTGGCACGCTTCGGGCAGCACAGGAGGTAGTTGTCCCAGTCCTGACCCTTCTGCCCATGGTGCCCCTACTGGAGTGCAGAGCTGCGCCCCCACCTTGCTCAGGGGCCTGCAGACACCAGCATGCTTTGTGGATTACCGCAGAGGTATCGGACCAGCTGGAGGATGGCAGGAAAATACCCTTCCCGTGGCTGCATGTTGCATCTTGGTGTAAAACCGACCACTCTGCAGCCACTAACTCAGACTGTACCTGGGGACTCTTGTTCTGCAGAGCCAAAACCTCAGAGGCTTGAGAAGAGGCTCTGTTGATCGAGACCCTTCTCAAAGAGAACGCGGCTTTAGAACAGCAACAGCGTGTGTGATCACAGGACACCAGTGAGCCGTGAAAAGCAGAGCACAAGTGGGAACAAGAGCCTGACACAATCCAGATATCAGGCTGAATTCTCCTTTCACACTTCTTTAACCCCCTTGATTTCTAAAGGCTCCTAAGTCATGCTCAATACCAGCAGCAAGGTGAGGGGAGAAGCAGGAGCACAGAGATGAAGTGACTTGCCTAGAAGCAGTCATGCTGGGATTAGAACCCAGCTCCCTGGAGTCGCAGGTCTGCTGCCTCGTCACAAGGCCACTGACACCATCTTCCCAGATAATGGAGTTTCTCATGGTTTACACCAAGATAAATGAGAGGCAACTCAGGCAGGGAGCCATCTAGCAACTGTCTCTCCCCCAAGGCGACACCTGCCTGGATGACCCCTCTATAGCCTGGCTGGAGCACCTGGAAGGGCTGTTTGCTGAATAAAGAAGGAGCCGTGTTAGTCTTAGAACAGCCTGTTTGCCACAAGCATCCTTGTCGCAGCCTTGCAAGGGATTCCCTTGACGCAGATGGCCTGGGAACTCATTACCAGTCAGGTCAAGAGAGGTGGCGAGAAGGGGTACAATAGGATGAGTTTCAATCGGGAAACACCATTAACATCCTGCGTAGCTACCGTGTTTCTTTTAAAAGAAGGACCAGCAAAAGTCCTCCTCCCACCCTCCCTCTCAAGCCATATTATCTTTGCGTTTCTCAATCCAAGGTAAGTGGTGAAAACTGAGTGGCAAGGCAGTGACTCCTGGCCAGGTCGCTGTCTTTAGCAGCCAAGGAACAAGCTAGGCCCTGCCCAGAGCGACTCTAGGGAGTGCTAAGCTGCTGGCTTCCTGACCAATGAACTGCACATCAAAGTGCCATGGGAATGGCCTGTGCCATCGGAATCACCCATCCCCAAAGGCAAGCAGTTCAGCTCCTGACCAGGGCCTGTGCTCCATTTATAGCCACATGACCCCCCCAGCCCCCCCCCCCCCCCCCTTTG